TAATATCTTTTCCTCCTGAAGGGGTACTTAGATGCACCTTCAAGGAATTGCCTGGCTCTGCTCACTTCCTCTGCTGCTGCCCCGAAGCGAGCACAGCTTTTTCCAAATCCCCTCCTATAATAAGCCTTCCTCTCCTCTCCCGCAGACAGGGCCCTGTCAAGGAGAGAGCAGAGCGCAGGGACATCCAGCAGCTTAAAGCCAACAGCAGCAAGGACGCATCACAACTGCAAAAGAGCAAGTTGATCCAGTGAATTCTGTTCCTGGGCTGTTCCTGTACCAAACTCATCCCCGGACTTTGAGCATCTTCCAGGGGTGCATTAAGCAATGTGACTTAACATCTGCAAAGCACTGTTTGTTCTCTTGTCCTCTCCCCAGGGAGAAAAGTATGTGCAGCCAAGTGGGGGTTTTATTATTATTATTATTATTATGACACCCCCCCCCCTACTGCCTTGTACCTACATTAGGCTCTGGGAAGACAAACACATGCCCCCCACATCATTTACACTTCATTTGATATGCTGGTGGGAACTAGTCTGGGGTAGGAGCAGACATGCAGCTATCCCAGGGTAGCTTGCACACTAGGAGGTTTATGTGGCACCTTGCTATTATCTGGCAGGGGAGCAGGTAACAGCGTGTTTGCCTTTAGCAAACAGATACCCCAGGATGGACACTGACAGATGAGACCTAAACTGGGCTATTTTACACTGGTAATTTGCCCCTCCGTGATTTTTTCAGGGGTAATTCTGCACCAGAATGAGCACGTTAACAACCTTTTACAGCTGCAAGATGTTGGCTGTCAAGGTCCCCCTGCTTCATCTGTGGTGAGGGTGCTACGCCTTGTATTGCACCAGGGTTGACTGTAGTTTTGCTAAGACTAAGAGGCTAGACAACGGATTTGTCTGGGATGGTTTGGACAGGGCTGATCCTGCCTCAGGCAGGGGTTGGACTAGACGCGACCTCTGTAGGTCCCTGCCAGCCCTGCTCCTCTAAGTTACCCTCGCTTGGCGGTGTATTTATGTTTTTTATACACCGGTGTAATGCCACTTACGCAGCCACGATCATGGAATCTGTCAACATCCTTAGAAAGACGAGGTCAATAAACTATTACAGCACTATTCGGTAATGTGACCGTCACCAGCATTGCAAGGCAGCAGTGACAGCCACACCTAATCCGGGATTCTGTACTGTCGAGCCTTAACATGATTTAAAAACACCAAAGCGGGCAATCAACCCTGCTTCCTGCACCGCCAATCTGCCCTGCCTCCCCAGTAGTGCATCACCTCAGGCTAACACGGTGTGTTCGGGGCCAGAACTCCAGTGGTGCCCACGGCTGCCCCAATCCAGCCAGGAAGACTATGGTACTGGAGTCTGCCCCGCGCAGTGCCCGGCCCTGGGAAACCCCATAAAAACCCCAACAGCATGGGAATAAGGATGAGGTGGGACTTCCCTATCCTCCCCACCCATCCAGTCCCCTGCCTCGGCAGCCTCTCCGGCACCCTAGGGAAGCTTGCTGCAGCTGGCACTGCAGACCTGATCCTTATTACACCGGCACAAATACAGAGTAACTCCATTACAATTGACAGCCTCCCCCAAGACACTTCCTAGCAATTCCTCTATCAACTTCGTGCGGATGCATTACGTTTAGACGGCAGCGAGCGAAGCCGGGCAGCAAACAGCACAGAGGTGACAGCGCACGAAGCCAGGGTCTGAGCTCAGATTTGCCCAGATGCACGGTGCAATTTAAAATCGCCAGCAGCCTCTGATTCAGTGTCACCCGCCATCCCCTGATCAGGATACAGCCAGGGGTCTTCCCTGGAGTCCAGAGCAAGGCTCTACACCAGATCTATGGACATCCCAGAGCCAAGCATAGGGGAAAAGGAATGCAGCCACGCAATGGCTGGAGGCAAATCCGTGCCTAGGATAAAGGGCTGCATCTCTTAGGGCATCAGGACCTTGACACTGGGTGGAGGTGGCTCCATCCCTAGGATAAAGAGCTGCATCTTTTAGGGCACCAGGACTTTTGCACCAGCTGGAGACAAGTCCATGCCTAGGATAAAGGGCAGCAGGACCTTTGCACCAGCTGGAGGTGGGTCTATCCCTAGGATAAAGAGCTGCATCTTTTAGGGCAGCAGGACCTTTGCACCAGTGGAGACAAGTCCATGCCTAGGATAAAGGGCAGCAGGACCTTTGCACCAGCTGGAGGTGGGTCTATCCCTAGGATAAAGGGCCGCATCTTTCAGGGCATCAGGACTGCGGCTCTTGCCCTCTGGCAGGGAAGAGCTGCAGTCACTCCTGACAGCCCCGAGATCATTCCTGGCACCCCGGCTGGGGGGGCCCACAGCGGGCACGGCCCTTTTAAGAGCGGAGTCGACCGAGGGCTCCTCCAGCACAACTCGAGCCGCCCGCAGGTTACTGCAGTTCAAGCCACACGTGCCACCGGCGGCGGCGGCGGGGAAGGGAAGGGAAGGGAAGGGAGGGGGGCCCAGCTGCCTGCCCTCCCCTGCGGGCAACCCCCCCCGGCCACGGCGGGGAGGGCG